TGTTGTTCGTCGTATTTGTATTACTTATATCATTATTATTGTTTATAACACTCCCTAGATCTGTAAGAAGCGCACGTGAAGCTTTATTTGTCTGCCATTCACTTAGATTGCGTGATCCTGTGGAAAGAAATATGCTGCTTAGGAAAACATTTAAAAATAAGATGTTGAGAAATCATAACAAGAATGTTGTCATGCATGCCTTGTTCCGTGGAACATAGAGAGTAGCATTCTGAGGGAGATGTTCACATCCCCCCCCCCCCCCCCATCAGAAACGAAGATTAGCTTCTTCTACCTTTTTAAAGATTTGTCTATTATCTTTTAAATAGAATTTACAGAGACAAAAATAAATGGGGTTTCAAACGTTCCCTCAAGCGACGCCCATGCTGATTTCATTGTAGCATCGGTATAACAAGTGGATCAAATGCTAGAAATGCAAATATAAGAAAGCAAGCAATCGAATAGAACTGGGGATTGGGTTCCTTCCATCTTTTCCTTTTCACGTTCCTTTCCTCTTCTCCCTTTCGTCCTCTCTCGTTTCTTCTTAAGCCCCTCCAAATTTCACCCTTCTTTCACCTTTTTTATTTAGTGCATTCAAACAAATATATATCAGGTGCTCATTGTCTGTTTCCTGTATCGCTTAAAAGAATTCATGTTTTTATTTGTACCATAAACTTTATGAGATCATATTGCCAAATTACATTGTCAAATTTCAAATATATGTACAGCATTAAACAAACAACTGGAAAATGAAACTAAACTGAAATTAAATAATAAGATGAAACCTCAAAAAACGAACAAACCAAATGCAAGCATTTTCAAACACTGCTGCCAGACATATACCAATAATACAAGTATACTTTACTGTTCAAATATTAACTTTAAATGGATTACTTACAATATAAACACGCCTAATCAATCGACGCTCTCATTTACATTAATTTGAAAAGGAAATGAGTTCATATACGGAGTAAAATTATCAGTATTTGACAAGTTGCGCATAGATTGATATTTTATGTTTGTTCTAAAGCATACAAATCGGACAAGTATTCAAAGCTATTGAAATACTTATATACATATTTATAAAATGACAGCGTTTAAAGAGCAAAATCCTTTCCATGAGAACCAACACTATCTTCCACGTACAAAATTAAAAAATTGAGACAGCTCGCAGATTATTTTTGTTTCCTTTACCAAAATGTATCCTTCTTTTGTTAGAAAAGTTGTAAAGGTTAAACTATAATTACTTTGCGACAGATTTCTTCACTCTCCTCTATTAGGGAAAGTCGTAGATATACATCTTTGGTTTTAAAGTGTTTATTGAAATGAATTCTGACATTTTTGATGCGTGGAATAAGTATTTATATGAGGCAGTAATATTCATTTGAAATAATTAAATCACATTGACAAAAATCGGAATACTGGTCGATAGCAGTACTAAATGCTAGGAAATGTTATACAATAGGTGTAAATGTGCATCGTAATTGCAAATGTATAGCATTCTTATCAATTTTTAAAATGTTGTCATGTTTTCTTAACCAGGTGAGAAATATAAAATTCAATTTATCCACAATTTGGCAAGTGAAAAATATTGATATTCATTTTATGTTATTTCAATTATTTATGTAACATGATATATTCTGACATTGCTTCATTTTATGTAGGATATACCATGCGTTACGAATACGCATAAACAATCATTGAATTGCACGGGGAGAAATATCTCTGACGAAAGACAATAGCTTTTACTATCCACTTTTTGTTTCACACTGAAACAGAGTTGAGACATCATTGTATCCCTTAACTTAATATTGAAAAAGTTTTTCTTGAAATATTTCATTTTGACTTCCAACTTCAAATCGTGTCGAAATGGCAATATAAAGAAGGTATTACTCTCATGTTTGATAAACAATAACGTCTTCCGAAATCGAGGTATCGCTATGCCCGGAAAATCCATCGACGGGCAAAGTCAACCAAAATATATTTCAAAGCAGTAAATGACTTCACACGTTCAAGCCAAATATGCTCTCTCAGATATTTCACCTTTCTTCCTATTAATTCTAAATAGTCTCATTATCAAATCATCATCAACTTCTATATACACGATCATAAAGAGTTGTTCATTAAACATTTTAGCAACTTCTTTCGGGGAATCAACTAAAGGCAATTGTAATAGCCTTTCCCATCACCGTTTGAAATGTGCGAACATTGCAATGACGCCATGCGAACATGATTCCGGAATGATATTCAGAAGGGCATTGGAATTGTCATTGACATGATTTCTCAAAAGTATTTGCGAATGTATTGGCATGTAAGAACAGTTATCGGAAAAAGTGCCATCTGAATTTTTTTAACTGTTATTTTCCACTCACTCTGAATGCTACTAATATTTATCAATTCCTAATTATTGTAAACTTATTTCATTTATACTATTTCTTATGCTTGAGATATTTCATTTCGATTTTCAGCTTAAAGTAGGTCGGAAATGGCGATAAGCAGTCAATATTACGCTCATGTCTAATAAATAAAGTCCTACTAAATCCTGGTATCTCTAGGACGGGAGAATCCAATGAAGGGCAAACTCAACAAAAATATTTCAAAGCAATAAATGAGTTTGCACGTTTTTATATTTTCAACCGTAATTGTCCACTCCGAATGCTATACTAATATTTATCACTTTCGTTTCTCTTTCTTGAAAACTTATTTCACTTCGACATTGATTTGTGCTATTCCTGCCATTTATACCATTTCATATGCAAGTTGGTTTATTCATTAAGGGCTTACATGGGCGAAAAATTAGAATATACTAGCCCTCTGGTTGAACAGAGACGTCTATTGTTATTTTTAGTTTTTATTGGCGTGTACCATTCATTTATGAATATTTACGCCTCTCTTTGCGATGTCATTAGGCTTTGCACTCAGGGCCGAGAATTGATCAATACATTTAAAAGAGACAAACAATATTCATTGCTCGCTTGCTCGCAAAATTAACGACAGCACCCTGGCGAAATCATGGTCGTTCGGTAGCACTTATATAGCCCCTTTACTCGTTTGCATATTTTCAAACCTACCTTGAAGGTACTGAAAATACGAAATACATATAATTTCAAAATAACCATCATCATGTTGACGGGTTGTGTTTAACTCCTTAATGAGATCTAACTTTACAACTTAAGTAGCATTATAGCCCCTTTACTTGTTTGCATATTTTCAGACCTATCTTGGAGGTACTGAAAATACGAAATATATATCACTTCTTCAAAATAACCATCACCGTGTTGACGGGTACTTTTTTTTAAACTTCATAACGAGATCAAACTGTACATGTATAACTTACACAATGGAATTTAATTTCAGCTGTCTTTCAACTGTACTAGCACAAACCAGTTGTACTTCCATGCCTGGCGTCCTTAATACAATATAATGCTTACAATTTGAATATACTTTTATCGTTCTTAAGGGTTGAGAAAGGGAAATATTAAATTTAAAACAATGTAATATAGTCCACATAAATGAAGGCTAAATCCTCTCCAAAAATAACGTGCTTTCAATAAATGCGGAAAAACAAGAGAAACCGAGCAAAATTAGCTTGACAAAAATCGGATAACTAATAAGAAGGTTATGAGTTTTTTTAAATGGTATGAAAAACTATGGAACAATGTAATTCACTACACAAATTGCCAATTTGGTTATCACTTTGTGACGTCATTGCTTCACTATTCGTCAATTGCTTTATATATTTTTTATCCCATTCATTTTCGTTTTTATCCCCAAGAACTTGATTCTCCCAAGCCTTTGGCCAGGTCACATAATTTGTATCTTATTGCATGCATGACATTTCACAAAACCTTTTATGAACTTTGAAAAATTGATACTAATTTCTGAATTTTGTATATTCATAATCATTAATTTTGATATAAACTTATAGTTTATCAAAAATCACATTTGCTTAATAATTTAATGACAGGAAAAAATTACTGCATATTAATGCATCCTCACAAAAACATATTACTATTATATAACTTGAATGCTGGTGTGGGGAAATAAAATTCTTATGGGGGAAATGGAAAATTTGTATTAACAATATAAATTAATGGACGGAGAGGCAATGACGTAACAGACTCATGAGTGAGTTGCCAATTGTCTTATGATTTTCAAAGGTTTTCATGTCATTACAAATTCATAACTTTCTTAATAATTTCCGATTATGCTCAAGACTTTTTGGATCGGTTCTTCTGATTTTTTGGCTACTATTGAAAGTAAGTTATAATCGGAATGGACTTGCCCTTTCATTTGAATACAGTGTTTCAAGTCCGATCAAATCTTCATTTTTTTTAAAAATATATTATTGAAATATATTAATACAGGATGGAACACATGATCAGCAAAGATGTTTTTCATCACGGTCCTGGTTAAGATTTGTTGAATCTGTCGCTTCTCTCCCATTGCTTGCTCATCTTCAGGCGTTTCACAGCCTTACGCCTGTTTCAAACGAGACACTAATCCGAATTTGCTATTAACTGCGCTAATGAAATCTATAAATGCATTTAGCTCATATAGTTTTTGATTAAACACAACGGCCCGAATTCACAAAGAAGGTTTGTCGACAAAGCTAATGTGCGTCATGTGACGCACATAACGCGTCAAGACGAAAATAAACCTAAGTTTGTCGACAAACGTTCTTTGTGAATTAGGGCCATTGTGTGCTTGGTTCATTATGCAATCATTTTGTACAATAGCACTAGCTGTCACGTGGTGCGTAAAATACTGCGCTAATGACTGACGCAGTCCTACGCCAGGGAAATGACGCCTCGTATGCAACGGACTGAGACACAACCACACATTGTGAGTCAGGCTCTGAACAGACGTTTGTAATCCATTCGAAAGCGCTTGTTCATGAAAGTATACTGCCAGCTGCTATCAGCATCTTTGATGTTCGGTTCTCACCGCGGTCAGAGAGGCGTCGTGCGTCACGGACTTGAGACGCAACCACACATTGTGAGTCAGGCTCTGAACAGACGTTTGCAATCCATACGAAAACTCTTGTTCATGGAAGTAAACACAAAATAGTTAATAATGTGATTGATGCCTGGCAGACTCTTGCCGATGTAAACAAGAGTATCAGCAGCGATAGAACCCTCAATGATCACCAGTATGCTGTCACGAAGATGGAAAAAGACAATGGGTGGTAACCATGAAGCAAGGAGAATGGTTGTCACTGCCATCAACATCTTTGTCGTTCTGTTCTCGCCGCGGTCAGATCGTTTTGGTCGCGGACAAGTAGGTCCGACGGAAACCGCTTTAGGTTGGGGCTGTGACCGATGATCAATTGTATTCGAAATCGAAAAGGTAGCTGATGTGTTTCCGTTGTTAATAACCAGGAGATTTGGTTGGGTTTGACTGCTCGTGGTTCCTTCGTTCGTGTTGTCTTTACGTTTATCCAACGTTTCACTTTTAACTGATTGTACAAGACTGCTATACCGAGGCTCAATTGGTAGTTGTAGCTCTGTACTCTGCACGGTTAGAGCTTCCGTCGATAGTCTAGACTTGTGCATTTGGTTTGACACCCCTCCTACAAGCTGTGCATGGATCTTGACCTGCTTTTTGATAGTTTGGTATATTCTCCCATACATTACAACGCTTGTCACCAAAGCGAATACAAAACCCGATGTCTTCAGCCATGCCTCAAGGGTATCTAAGAAATCTTGGGTATCCACAACAAGACACGTCAATTCACCAGGCCTTGATTCATAAGCATCCACATAGATGAGCTTTGTGCATGTGAGTGAGCTTCCAAAAATCCAGCAAATAACCGCCAGACACAGCGCTTGTTTATTCGACGCCCGCTTTCCATATGGGCGGCAAACGAAGAAGAAGCGGTCGAAGGCGATCGCTGCGGTTAGAAATAACGACGCGAAGGCGAGTGAGTTGTTGCCGAAGAGCGCGATACGGCAGATGGCCTTGATGGTGAAGCGGTCAGAGACTGACTTGAGGATGTTGATGGGTGCGAGAAGGGATGCGACGAGGTCGATGGTGCCCTGGGCGATGATCAGGATGTCCGTACTGATCTTCCGTTTCTTCCTTGAATAAACCACGATGATGAGCACGTTGCCGGGAATACCAAAGATGAACTGAAGACTATAAAATATTACCGCATAAACGCCTACCGGGTATGACAGATTCATTGTTCGTGAATAATAGTGAACAGACGAATGGCTCTTCCAAAATATGATGACAGTAATTGTTCATCGAACGTTCATGTTAAAGTATATCAGAGAGATCGTTTAAAAAGAAAGCACGTCCGATTAGTTCCTATCGTTTGAAAGGACGCAATAGACAATGACACGAGATTATTATGCTGGAAACTTTGAGAATGCCTTCGGAACGCCTACCAACGATCCCATGGCGATACGTTACATTATTACAGGCCGTGATAAATGCGTCTGTCCCATGCATGAGTTTTACTACAAGTGTTGCTTTCATCTGGACCTTGGAGCAGTGCTTGATCAATTGAAAATGACTTTCATGATGTTTCTTACACAATCATTGATTAAGACAAGTGAACGAACTAAAGGAAAGACACAACTTGATGAATTATGATCCACAGGTCATTCAGGAGATGAAGAGTACACCCGTTTGTTCAGTACTGTATTTCGATCACATCTATTTGTATCATTTCATAATGGTTCAAACTTGTTAACGGATGGTGAATACGTAAATATCCATATGCTTAGCTGATGAACGAATTACATGATCCAATTATAAGAAGAAAGTGTGTTCTTTCGATGAATAATATTCGATATATATAATATAAATTCGGTCAAGCTCTGTCACGGTTTTCTAACAAGTGAGAATATGAGAAGAAACTTCCGCGTCGTCGGGTGCATATTTCCTGCTGGTCCCCTCCTCATACCATCCTTTGTTAATCTAATATTCTCCTTTCCAAGTGAGATCAACTTGGCAGTAGTCAAGGTATTAGCATGTCAGGTATTAGCTTCTTTATAAATACCAGTGTGTCGGTACGATGGTGGAAAATCTACTCGCTTTCCTTTTAAAGTTTGACCAGGATTATATCGATGAAGAATAACACAAGTGATGGAGGGAAAGTTGTTATTAAAACTCAATAAGATTTGAAAGTGATGTCGTATACAAGTTTGCGATTAGCAATGACGGGGGAAATGTTTACGAAGTTCGACCAGGTGTTAGAAGAAAAAAATGTTAATATGTTAAACCTTCACAATCTTCCGGGGGATAAAAATTGTCATGTTATAAAGTAGTATTAACAACTACGTCACCAATACATTATTTCGAATCCACAATATAGGCAGGAACCGTTCATCATAAAGAATATCCTGAACATCAACAAAGCGTCACAAAAATCGTCAAGGGAAACACGCAGATAATAAACTGTTGTTTCAGATAATGAAATTTTTATCTGCCATCTGATGAACAATCGACTGGTCTGGTGAATTTAAAACGTTTGTAGGAAATAAATCAAATCAAATCAAATGACGATTCAAAGAAAATGTTTTCAAAGTCCAGTATATTTCTCGAGACCTCTTCTCTAGACGTTTTTCAAGTTGAAAGACTGGAGACGGAAGAGGCATAGTTCACCAGCCTCCATCACCTCACTCAAGTATGTAACAGCAAAACGAACGATGAGCGCTTTTTATTTAGACGACGCAATCCTCGATACCCCAGTCACACAAAAGAGACCGAAACGACACATCAAACAGAAAAGTACACTCCCCAAGTAATAGAGTAACGATACAGATACCAGACCGAACAGAAAATGACATTACTCCGAATGGCCAAGAATCGGTCAGTTTGATATCGATGTGGGGACGGTGTGACTGTGGTCTAAGTGGAGTTTAGTTGCATTGATGCTTGTCGGAGATAGATGAGCTGGAGATAACCACCATTTGAATATCCGCAGTGAATTATCTCGTTTTTATTATTCTTTTTTTTTTTACGGAAACGGGAATTTTCTATTTTATGAAGCGACTCTTTGTGATCTATGGCGATATGTTTATTACACATCTTTATTACACAACTAATCTACTGTTTATAACCGTAATTTCCATCGGGGGCATATCTTCATCGATCATATTGCAGAGATGAATTATCTTACATTAAGGAAGTATATGGCATTCTTTTACATTGCTGAATATGTCCGTAATGGATAAAACTACACTTTAGACTAGTGTATCTGGTTGAGAAATATCACATCAATTTCCGTTTATTTTGCTAACTGTTCCTTTATGTTAATATAATTGATAGGATATATGGAATGATGCCAGTTCTAATTGTCCTACGTGTTTTAGATATCAAAGCGATATCTGTCCGTTTGTAAAACTTGTAAAATTCACGTTTTATCAATATGTTATCTGTGAAAGATAGCATACTAGTCTTTAGTGATAACATATAGCTTTCATCCATCGACATAACTTGATTTTGTCAGCGGACGGGTATACTTCAAGAAGGGACATTTCACATTCAATATACAATCACGAATGGCATTCTTTGTTTATAACATCTGGTAGAATATTTACTTTCCAAGGGACTTGATTATATCTGAGAATTGACAAGAGATCTTGTTCCAAGAGAACTTTAGAGGGGCAGATAGGGAATAGGGAAAGAGGTAAAGAGACAATACAAATAAACATTTAATTATTTATAAGGAGATATAATCAAGAATAAGCGTTTGAGGCGGGCAAGTAAGTGTGGGTATGTGTGTGTGTGTGTGTGTGTGTGTGCGTGCGTGCGTGTGTGTCTGTCTGTGTCTGTGTCTGTGTGCGTGCGCGCGTGTGTGTGTGTCAATCCATCTAGAAAAGGAAAGCCAGTGATTACAAAACCTGGCTTGTGGATCCATACTCATGAAATAAATATATACCATCCCACACATAGCTCCCTCACCCTACACCCTCCTTTTCGCACAAGGACATACACCCACGTACATCCATAAACTAAATCCAAAAAACGTACAACTTGAGTATCAAAAGCACTTGATAACTTGATAAAGCTGCAAGGATGCAAAATGCACCAAAAAGCTTTTAATGAATTTTGTGTTTGTACTGTTGTATGGAATGTAACATGTAAATGTTGAACATGCAATGCATACGCTGTGAAATTCGTGCATTTTATCATCATCCCTAGAGAAGGTTCATCTTGTGAATGATTGAATATTGATTGAGGACACGGCTAGTATGCTGACAAAACGTAGAAACATGTTACTCAACCGCTGTTTCTATTTGTCTTTCTTAGGGGTGCGTTTATTGGGTTTCGCCACAAGATATGTACATATCGTGTCCCACTATCATACCCCACTATCGAACCCCACTATACGAAAGTGATTTGCGGGTTGTCGCGTTTATCGTCTCTTCACGATTCAAAATAAAGGCCTTGTGTCTGCGCAGCTGTTTTGACCCGGGAAGCAGACAGTTTATCGGAGGTCAACTACACACACATGCTTGTGCACAACACATGGCGCGCGCTAGCCTCCGAATCGGAAATTAACCTGGGTGGTCCGATTTGTATGTGGGGGTTCAAAACAGCTTTGCGTTTATCATCTCTCAGAAACGTGATTCTGGCTGTATGTCACATACAAAACACCCTTTTTTGCGTCTTTAGATATCCCCATATCTAAAGACTTTCGAAAAAAGGGCTTTGCGTTTATCACTTTCTAAATTTGCCTGAAAGACGTTTGAGAAACCTGATTCTAGCCAAAAATTTGGGCAATAAACGCAACCTTAGACAATCAATGGGACGCGACAAGAAGGATAGCTGGAAAGAGGAACAATTATGTTAATGGAAAGAAAGCTACATTGATGATCAAGAAAGATAATAAATCAATTATTGAGGAGGGACAGTATAGGGGACTGATAACTTCTTGAAAGGAGAATGTGATAAAAAAAATACTATCAGTATTAATAATGCGTACGAGCATGGAAATAGAGAGGGTGAGATAAGAATAGCATAAGAGTAGATCATATTGAAGTGGCGTATTACCAGCAGTGGTGGATCAAGGGGCACAGAGGACACGACCTTGCCCCCCTCCCCCTCTCCTGCCAAAAAAACTCTTGTATTTGCTTGTTTGTTAGAATACTTGTTATGTAAATCTGAACGGCACTACCAAACAGGGATGACTTTTTTTATTTTGCAGAGGTGTCACAGAATTTAAGAGTTTTCGTACCCGTGGCGGTTCCTACCCCGCCCCCTCCCCCTCCCCCTTTCCCGGCCAGCCCCGCGATAGAATCCTGAATCTGACAATGCCTAGTCAAGTTTTTATAGATAATCACTACCGGTAGAAATATGATATGAATATTCATGTGCCTGAGTTATTATGGTTATCGGATTGTGCATGCTTAGTTTAAATAAATGACATTAGACCAGTTCAAAGATATTATAATAAATATCCCTTGTTCAAATTACAAGATGTCAAATACAATGAGTAACAATTTCTATGCTTAACTTCTCTTAATACAGAGGTAGCCCCGTATTAGTAGATATACATACCACCAAAATACAGTTATGTTTTCCTAAACACACACTTAGTGATATCAATTTCCAAAACTTTACAGGGTATCAAACCCTGGATCCGCATTTAAAGAGATAATTGAGTTTTGTTACAGAGGGTGCTGCACAAAATTTGGGCGAGATAATGAAAAAGTGAGTGTCAAATTAGAGAGAATACACACTTTAAATTACAAAATCATCTTTGTTTGATCAAAATCGGTTCGGTGATGGCTAATTACCTTCATAGCAATCGTAGGTTCTAAAAGGGCATAAGAAATATCATAAATAAGAATAAGAGCAATAACCATGCACTTTGAAGGCATTTGCAGTTTTAAACAAGAACTCAACTATCCCTTTAAGTTGAAAATTTGGGTGTGATCTTTTTTCCCTTTACTCATAAGTCAGTCCAGTGAGATGCTGAAAGACCAACTGTTACACCTTTTACCACGCCGAGTTATCTTTTCTCTCAATCTAAATGTTCCTTCTTTGTGTGATAACCCAATGGCCTCTCTCTATATACAAATGTGACTGATGGCGCCTTAACATTTCTCTCTACTTTTTAGATTGTGTAGCTGTACTTTACCAACTTTGAATCTGGCGTTTAAAGCCCCATTGCACTATTAAAACCAGGAGGGATTAGACATCCGTGCATGGTTACTGGCAGGTAGTTATCTCATCAAATCAGCTCTCAATTAACATAAGAAAAAAGGACCACGATGGACCAATTGTCACCTATTAGGCATTGTTTGCTTCAAAGAGGCCGCAAGTAGCTATAAGTAGTGCGGAGGGGCTTTAACACGTTCAGGAGCTATATTCGAAATATCAATAAAAGATATTTTACGAAATAATATTTGCAATTGGTTTGTATTCCTTGCATCGCACGTACAGCGACGTTGTTTGCTTCAAGGTTTCCAAATATATTTCTTTTTTGCATGTTGTCCCAGATGGCGTCTTTTAGCTTTATTATCACGAAAATTCTGGAAGTTTCCGACTTCCACTGAGTCCTTCTTTGATTGACTTTCTTTTCTTGTTTTGGTCTACATCACTAGGAATGTGTGTAGTTATCTTTATAACAACCCTACGTCATATTTATCTCCACCATTGGTAGTGAGATAATCATGAACCGAATTATTGTATAAAAAAGTTGATGATTATGAATGCAACAGCAGGGTCTATACCCTAAGCCTTTACCTGCACTTACCTATATTTAAGAACTGCAATCGAAAAATCTCTCTTTCAAGTAACACAATATACATCATGCGTTTGGATCGTAATATGCCCAATTAGTTGGCAATTGTCGTTACACATTTTCTGACAGACCACAACACTTCACATCTCTCCCAATTAATAAATTTAGTTAATATGACATAATATTCGTGAAATTTGTAATAATTTGAATGTGTGTGAGAGAGATAAAGAGAGAGAGAGGGATCCATATGTAACATAATTATAATACATGTAGTACGATATGAGATAATTACTTCGAAATTTCGATTTCTGAACACTGGGGGGCAAAACGTCCTTGGAGACAAATGTTATGTAAGTACCATATGATACCTCAGATATGACCAAATGTCAGTCGGTTTGAATTGGATGTGGAGTCTGTATGGTTGTATGTCCCATTTTGGAAACGGTTGGATCTATGCACACGATACTTTTCCATGCACGCGATACTCCATGGATAAGGAGAGGCGTTTTTTTTTTTTTAATATTGCTAAGCAAAAAAGCGATCAACAGACAATATTGTTTATAACCCTTTTAGTTCATTGTCTCACTTATTATCACTTCAAACCCGGTTTTGACATTAAGAGGTACCGGCAGCATCTAGAAAACGGATTGAATGCCTCCTAGACAAAAAAGAGAGACAGATTAAGTGGACTCGACTTGATCACATTTCCTTCTTGATTTTAGGCAAAAGGGACCCGGTAACTTTGTCTCAGATTCTGAAACGAAATCCTGGATTTAGCTCATGCTGCAATGATAATTATAAACCGAAATGGTCAGTCAGGCACCCATGACTTTTACAAGTTGATCGCCTGTCTGATTATCAAGATATTTATACATGGAAATCGAAACCAAATTTTGCGTTTTCCTAACGGTTTTCATAACGCTACAGTCTATTGAGCAAAACGAGTATGGTAAAACCGGTCACTCAAAGATTTTTACTTTTTTGAGGCACTTCTTGATCATTTTGATTTTGTAAGGGTTTCATTATTCCAACATATCACAAACACTGATAACACGTAAGGCCGTGTATCTCAGATTTAACATTGTTAAACGATGCCTTTAAACCCTTATTAACTTAAAAGTCACTACAAAATACTTTTTCTCACTTTCGATGTATCTACGTTATAATAATAATAATATTAATGATAATTATAGTACCGACCATTTAGGAGCGCTAAATAGACAGTACCATAGCGCTTAAAAATTAGAGAACAATTAGTGAATGGAAACATGAAATACATTAGACTTTCAAAAAATAGGTAATCGCATTCAGTTACTGAGGGGATAAGTATGTTTTAAGGAATTTTTTTGAAGGAGACAATACAGGTTAATTCTCTGATGGAAATTGAGATATTTCCTTGTTTTCGTAACAGCCACTGTTACTCGTTTGTTCAGTCCTCCCTACCTATCTGAGCTCTTAACCAATAGCCAGCCATCCCGATACTCCCACCCTGCTCCCATCGCTCCTCTTAAAGGCATTATCAAACAATGCTAAATCTGAGATATATAGCCCTACGTGTTATCAGCGTTTGCGATATGGTGTAATATTTAAACTCTAAACTGAATTGCTCTAAATTGCGCTTTAAAATGATTATGTAGTGCCTCAAAAAAGTAAAAAAATCTTTGAGTGACCAATTTTGCCATACTCATTTCCCCCAATAGACTGTAGTGAATTCGAATTAAAATAATAAATCTAAATCAAGTTTATAATCATGATGACAGGGTGAGCTAAATCCAGGATTTTGTTAAGAATCTGAGACAAAAATACCCAATTCCTTTAACACATCTTACTCAACTTCCTATTCTCCTACGGCGTTTCCCACTCTTGATGATACAACTTCCTCAACTCAATTTAATTCGATTTATTAATTTATTTGTCATCATATAAAAACGATATTAAGAGGTAAAGAATGACAAATATCAATAGGGTCGAAGAAAAAGGAAGATACAAAAAAGTGGCGTACTTTAAAAGGTGTAGCTCCCCTCAAAACTCGACTATTTAGTCGATGCATTGTATAAATACATTTATTTATTAGTAGTAACAGCAGCCGGAGTAGCAGCATGAATAGTAGTAGAAGCAATATCATTAGAAGTAGTAGTAGTAGTAGTAGTAATAGTAGTAGTAGTAGTAGAAGTAATATCAGTAGTAGAAGTAGTATTTCATTAAATGTCATTATCATTTATCATTATTCTTACTATTGTTAATATTTGAGTAATAAGTAAGCACCGAAATAATACCTTGACGAGGGAAGTGTAACCTATATACTTTTGTAGATGTTATCTTATTTGTCCACATATAGGCGCCGACGACAGGGACGGAATTCATTTTTTTTTTAACGTCAGTGGATTCTTTCTAACATCGGCACCGATCGTCATAACTTTTTTATGTACGGCGCCGTCACCCGCCGACTTTTTTTTTTTCTTTTTTACTCGCAAATGAACTCCAACTGCGAGCAACAAAGGCCTTTCCGTATTCTTCTTCTTATTATTATTATTATTATCATTATTATTCATTTTGTTATAATTATTATTAGGGTCTATATTTATTATAATTATCATTATAATTTTTCTCACGGTTGTAGATAGTGTTATTTTGTATTGATTAACATTAATTCGATATGAATTTTATATTGTACAGAGTTAAATTGACAAATTAAAACTGAATGTACACTTATCCAATACCCCCAACGTGGGTGACATGAGAATAAATTGTCATTGTCATTGTCACTTAGCTCTGATATCAAAAAAATTTGAAGCGTATTACACTTAACGTCATCATGAAGACAAAAATACCGATGTTTTACTGTGTTGTTTTCTAACGAGCCTGTAGAATGTGCTGATACATGACCCTGGGGCCGGGGGCGTCGTGATCGGTGCTGAAGGTGCTTTGGAGGAACTCTATCCCAAGTCTGAAGTATAGCAACACCCATAGATAGGATTGGTCTTCTTCTTCTTCTTCTTCTTCTTCTTCTTCTTCTTCTTCTTCCTCTTCTTCATCTTCATCTTCCTTTCTTTCATTTTCTTTCTTTCTTTTCTTTCTTGTACTTTCTCTTCTCTTCTTATTTTTTTTGCTTGTTTACTTTCTTTCATTTCATTCTTATATTTTCATTTCCAGGCATTGAATCAAGAACAAAACCAAAAACATGCAACGACAAAGGAAGTAAGCTTGCTTGTTCTCATGATATTTGGAGTAACGAGGTACAGCTATGAACCTTCGATACAAATAAAATGATGTTCCCAGGTCAGCCAGTTGACTGTACTAATACTATCGACCAAGAAAATAAACCTTTCCATAAAACTTTCGAGGTTCTGTCATAAGAGGTACCTGCTACAACTATCAACCTTGGTAACTGAATTACTACAGACACACTTGAAATTATAATGATAATTAAAAAGAAGATCTCCTAGAGGTAAGTAAAGTATACTAGAGTTGATTATATTACCTCTAAGGTTAACACATGGCCTTGGATGTCTGAGTCCATCGAATCTGCTCGTTGCCAATCAAACGTTAGCATTTTAGTAGCTTGTAACAATTATCGTATCTTCTTATCGATAACAATTTTGTTTTCATGAAACGTGGCCTTAACTTTTGATCCAAACATTTTTATTGGTCCGTGTTAATGAGCCATGAGCGTGACATTGATATAAGCCCCGCCTACTACAGTTCCTTCTAGGCGTGACGTTTTCCCGCACTGATTTGATTGGTCCGTAAGGAAGTGATATGGGCGTAACCATAATGATTCCCAAATCGTGTGCAAAAATTAAGATATATTTAATTAGTGCTCATCCTTTGCTCATCATTCATTGGTGTACTCACCCAAGTTTGCTGATTACACGGTAAGATTGCTCTAAACTGATATCGCCTACTTCGTTTTTCGAAAGATCTAAATTCGCAGACGAGTATTTAAAATGTTCCACCGATCAATATAGAAAAGCTCTGCCCATCACCTAGCTGTTTATTTAATAACGTTTTTGTCTCAGTGAAATGATTTTTTTTAGCGCGATTTGTCCAATATGTTGGGAATGTTTGTTAGCTAATCTCTGAGTTTGAAAGTTTATTAATTTCAGCCAGAATACATTTCAACGGCAAGAGTTTTGGTCAATAAAATTAAAATGTAAGCTGATTCGTAAATTTCGTCTTAGGTGACTGCGCTTGCTTGTACTTCCTTTTCATTTCATTTCGATCTTTCTCTACTCTACGTTAGGTACTTTGAGAACATGCTGTTGTTTGTGTTTTTTATGCGTTGTTTTCATTTCTGCACAAAGTACACCAGCTCCTTCCTTTGTCTTTGTTAGGTATATCATCTCGTCGCCTACCAGAATAGCAACATGTTTGTCGGAAAGACTGTTCCCAACCTCCTCAAGGTCGTGTTGGTGATACACGCTGTGCTTCGATGCTCTGCCCAGATTGGTAACACGTTTAATGATAACGATAGTAATAACTAATATTTTCATAGCACTTACATCCGCCAAGCAAGGTATTCAAGGCGCTCCAATATTACTTTACAGTATAGCAAGGCTACCGATTTTGTTTCCCATTATAAACGTTGGGCTTTATAGGCAGATGGGATCGTAGTATTATTATCGGTCTTTGACATCTTCTCTTGTGTATACATGGTTACACGAATGGGATGTATCATGACGTAGATAAAAATGAATAAGATGTAAAATACATTCAAAATAGAGTTATTAAGGTTGAATGAGAGAGCATATCAGGTGATTTTAGGATATTTACCTAAGACATTACTATCGACAAGATTGGAACGATATGAGGCGACATTCCAGTCAGGTGCTGTAATCTTTCCTGAAGGGTTCAAATAGATTCCATGGATGCAGTGACCACAAGATTGCATTGCCATTTTTTTTTGGAAATGCTTTTGATCTTTTCCTCGGTACCATTTTTCATCCCAATGATGATTTCACTAAGTCCGCATAATCCATACACACTTCTAAGTTTTCTATTACCCCATCCTCAGCCTGGCCTGTTGGTACGTACGGACTCCCGAAGCCAAACTCTGGATGCCCCACTGGCTGGAGTGAAGGGTACAGATACCATGATACCGAAGACGACAACCCAGGCAACCAATGGAGCGATCCTCTAGATCTAGATGGCACTTGGGGCCAGGCCAACATGGAGTATAACTTCTGTATGAAAACCCAAAGTAGCTTAGACGGAGAAGCCTGGCCAGCGGGAAGCTATTGCATCTATAAAAAGGGCGATTGCCCATCAGGTAAATATGGCCAAGAACCGATCCTAGAAACTTGTTTTAAAAAAAGTGGAAAATTTTCTTCAATGTTTCTGACAAAGAGGTCATCAGATATTTTCGGTGCCTTTTTAATCTTGAAATGTCCAATTTGTCAGAACATTAACATAAAAATATACAAAATATGTGTTACATATGTTTTTAGAAAAATAAACAATAATACTGTTGTACGCATTTATAACTTTCATTTCAAAAGAGACAGTTAGATGCTGCTTGTAAGTATCGGCTTGCATGGTGATGTAGATATTACAGTAGGCTTGCGGGTGCACCATGTGAGAGAGAGGGAGGATTGAGGAGTCCTCAAAAGGACTCTCGGTTATCTTTATTGAGGGTGTGTAGTCCTGAAAAGGACTGTTGGTATAGTCTTGAAAAGGACTGTTGGTTATCTTTCTTAGCATATAGTTCTAAGGAGAACTATAGCACTTGGAGAGGACGAGTGGCGGGAGTGGCTCGACGCTTCGAACAGGTTGACTATCCGTCGTCAGGTTTTCTTCATGAGGAAAGTGTTCTGGTTCTCGTGACAGACTGGGATTGATCCACATATAAAAACGATATTAAGAGGTTAAGAATGACAAATATCAATAGAGACTGGATGTACGATATCAGATAAAAATTTCTGAAAAATTAGCCAGGAGATTCCTAAATTTGACGTGGCATTCGGGGTTGATATGTTCAGGGACCAAGGTGTCACATCTCCTGTAGCATTGCACCAAAGTAAGATAGTGGTTCTTTAGAAAAAGATTAGTTGCTTGTAGCTATTACAAGCAAGCGATTATTAGATTTGGGACAGATACGGTGGTTCTATTTAACATAATATCAAGACCACGGCCTGAGAAAGGAAATGGCGACCAAGTTTTGAGTTTTCTCCCCGTTTTAACTTGCAGTGTAAATGCAGCTATAGATGTATTTTATTCTTTTCCCCCAGGAGTAGACGTTGATAGATGTCGCCTCACAGATTAAAACCTGACTGTAAGCTAATTGTGAATGCTACATCTTTACCAAATCAATAAAAGTCAAAGTAATCTTAAAACATATCATTTGCGTAGTGAATCAGGAAATTAAGTACCTAAACATCTTGCCGTTTTCTTGAATTTAATGTACATTTATTTTTTCTCTCAGGATTCCAGTCTGGCTCCATACGCTGGGATGACGAAGATAGCGCCAATATCAACAGAGAAGGCGGTACTAAACCAGACGGGACCTATGACCATAATACAATAATCTTCTTCTGCTGCAGAAATGATGACGTGACCAGCCAAGCTATCTCCCTACCAAGAGCCGATCGTTTCATGTTGCTCTCACGCTTCGATAGTTGTCAGCAGGTGGGTTATAATATTCTGATAATAATAATAATAATATTCAGCTTTTACATAGCGCTTAATACATCTCGGACGTCTCTTTACTATTACCCTGGTCATTGGATTCAGTGCTTTCCCGCACAAACTGTGTGCACAACCTCCACTCCTTGGGTAACATTCCAGCCAGGCGTTTCTTGACGCTCAAAAACTGTTTGACCAACAATGATGGTCGCATTCTACCGGGTACCCATTTTAAGAACTGTGTGGGGAGTAGCAAGTGTAGGTTAAAGTCATGCAAATAAGGATGATGTTTGAATGTGAATCGCTTTACCTCGTGTTGTGTTCTGGGGATAAGCATTATTATCATTAGTTATTATTCAATAATTGGCGCCACAAATTAAACTAGATCACAGTAACCCTCGGGTCTCTGATCCCGGTAAAACAGTTCAGGGGGTGCAGGTGGACCACTACACTGGTATTTCCCTTACAATGTGGTTCAGGATGCGATTGTAAATGTTGATCTGATTGTATTCAATAAGGAGTATGTGCTTTCTGAGGAAGCAAGCAGTGAAGACCAAATGACTGAATTATATATTCTAGGTGCGGGGAATGACTGTAACGAAGGAATGGTTCCGATGGGACAACGAGGATAGCAATAATGGAGACAGTCAAACTGATGTGCACCCCTATGAAGGTATACAGAGTGGCGGTGAGAATGTCAGACTCAATTTCTGCTTCTACGCACCTGACATAAGTCAATCCTGGCCTGATGGTACCTACGGACTTCCCAAATCGTTGGCTGGATGTCCTAGCGGCTGGGAAGAAGGATACAGATACCACGACACCGAAGACAGCGGCTCAAACAACCAATGGAGTGATCCACTCCATCTTGCTGGTACATGGGACCTTAACAACATGCGAAACGAATTCTGCATGAAGACCGTTGCTGACTTCGCTGGCCCATCCGGCGCAGACTGGCCACAAGGAAACTACTGTATCTACAGATGGGACGGATCATGTCCATCCGGTAATTCGAAGATTTTCTGCACATGTATTAATTTAAGGATACTGTTGGTGTAATAATAACTAAACTTCTTTGGAAGCGCAGAGAGACGCTTTATCATAAGGGGTATGCGCTATACAGAAACGGTTTATCATTATCTTGATCATAATCATTAATAGTATTAGTATTAATATTATTAATATTATTGTTATTATTATTATCATTATTATTGTTTTGTTTTTGTTGATGTTGTCGTTCTTGTTTTTGTCTTATATTATCGTTATTGTTATAATCATCATTATTGTTTCTTGATCTTCTTTTGATTTGGCTCATCTCTCAGGCTTTGTAACCGACCAGGATACGTATATCTACTGGGATGATGAGGATAGTTCCAATGCCAACAGTTTTGGGGGTGTGTTACCAGACGGCGTGTATAACGGGAACACCAGGATGCAGTTCTGCTGCCGTGAGGATGGCGTCACTTCGCTCGGAATGTCTCTTCCTACAGATAATACCTTCTACCTGTTTGCCAGCTCTACTACATGCCAAGAGGTTGGTGCTATTACTATGATGATGAGGATGATGATGATAATAACAGTAATGATAATAATAACAATGATAAAATAATGATGAAACTACATTTGTGTTGCGTGCATATCCATCAAGGGAGAAGGTCGAAATGCTTACAAAGTACTAATATAATACGCTGGTTTTATCCCAGCTTCGCTAAGGCGCCCAAATCATTCAAGGAATGAATTCCACAGTCCGGTGACTTATCAATTATAGATATAACAACTTCCAAAACCTGTTAACTTATATTTTTTTGGTAAACTGACAATTTTATTATTTCTTTGAAATTATACGTGGCATAGGAGTTAGGTTTTCACATTGTAAGGTATTTGAAGGATTATTTGAAGTATGATTCGTGAAATTTCTGTGAATACCCTTCCAAAACAATACTCTGGATATAATTGTGTTTTCATTTTTAACGCCAAGCCTTCTTAATCTGTATATTCGTAATCATCTCTAAGAGGTATAAGCTACGAACCTGTCAGAAATGTGAAGTCCTTGCATTAAGAAATATATATATATATATATATATATATATATATATATATAATTATCCAATTAATAAATTGATAATTGTAATCAGTACAAGGTAACCTTTTCTTGCAGCCTCCCTTCTTTTTTTGCTTTTTTCCTCCTCTTCTCTTATTTCCTGAGAGAGTTAAGATATTTTCCAAAGGTATTTATTTTAAAGAATATTGCAATTATGCAGTGCTGAAATTACGAGAACCACTTAACATTGAATTTTAACAAAGACAATGCTGTACTCGTGAGTCATAAATAACAGAACCTCAAAATGTGTGCAGAAATCAAAGCAGAGGAATATGCTTAACTGCCGGGAGTTGGAGCCCTATTAGTAGATAATATTTATAATATTGTATAAAAGCATAATGCCTGTCACGTGACGTATTATGACCAATGACATGGCTTACATCCTGAAAGATACTTCATCACTCTGTTCACATTTACCACACCAGGTTGCCGGCATGACAGTGACACCTGAATGGTTCCGATGGGACAACGAGGATAGCAGTAATGCAGACAGTCAATCTGAGGAGCACCCCTGTGAAGGAATAGAGAGTAGTGGTGAGAATGTCAGACTCACCCTCTGTTACTACGTACCACAGTAACCATCCTGCAGTCTTCTTGGAACGTGCGAACCTTTAGACCAAGTACAGTAACCATCCTGCAGTCTTCTTCGAACGTGCGAACCTTTAGGCCAAGTAAAATTTGATTCCTAGTTTCTCGTCCAGATTTTGAAAATAATGAGCTGGGGCCCCCGTTTCATCAAACTTTTCATCTTTAACAAATGCTTAATTTCTATGATAAATTTGCTCTCAGCCAATCAGATGCCTTGATTTCAGTAGCTTATAACAGTAGTTTGTAACTTGTTTTATGAAACAGGGCCCAGGAGGGCTCCCCATTTTGTTTAATATTTTATAGTTTGGTGTATCAATTTTAATAATTTCAATTCATATTTTCTTTTATCTGATTTAATTTGAGTCTACATGCAATCCAGAGGCTCACAACGAAATGGCATTGCATTATTGAGTTTGGTTGCCTCGATGTCCAGATAATTTAAGAGCTTTTTATATATTCATTTTAGAAATAAAATATCAGAAGTGAGGCGGGCCGGAAAAAGGGAAAGCAGTTGGGGTGAGAAACTAGGAAAAATATTTCTATTTGGTCTTTCCAATATGGCCGATTGAAAATGAATGAGGTGAACGCTTTTTCTTCTTTTTTATATTCAATTTTAAAGATTTTACTATTAATCCTTTCTGTTACGCAGCAATAGTTAATCAACTTACGTACGGATTAATAATCTCAATGCTCGTTGTAAGATTGCTTAGTTAATACCCTTAATTAGAGAGAAACGGTGATAAGTTCGTGCAGACGATTTAAGTTCGTATCATAACATTAAATGTTCAATTTTACTTCTTAAAGAGGGTTTGATTCATAGAGCTTATTACTGGTGTATCAAACTAACTCTGTAGTATCATTAGGGGATTATTTTGCTTTCGTATAAAACCGTTAAAACATTGCTGTTTTTATTTTAGGATGTTTGAATGCAACTTAATTCCTAAATGGTGTACTAGGTTTTGTAACTCTTTGTAATAATTGTGTAAGATTTTCTTATGCTGGTGATCTTCTTTAGTTAAATTATGCGATATTAACACACATGATACAGGGGCGCTTCACTATATTAAAGATCCTACAGTTTTTATTCACAATCTGGATAGAAATATTGCGTATGAAAATAATGTCTGTCTGCAGCGTAATAATCGATATAGCTCAACCGCTAATAAAGTGATTTCCTTACTAAAACCTTGGACCATATTCTATCAATATAATGATCTAAAACATAATCACAACCCTTACCCGAAAACTACATCTTCTAAAGTCTTTGACGATATGTACCCCAGAACTACTGTCGCAGAAGCATAATTATGTTGTATCACCATAATAGTATCAAACTGTATCAAAACGTTTTAGTAGTGATATTTCCCCAGCACACATACGACAATGTCTGTCTTCGATACAGGATCTTTGATTTCATTTTCTAATCCATATCAAGTTAGTAATCATATTTGTGAAATACTTCTTTTAGGAACTGTGGGTGATTGGGTCAACCTGACTCATGTTACCATTGATTAAAAAATAAGGTGACGGGAAAGCTCATTGTTAACATTGTTTTTCTTCTGTTCGCCTTTGGTCAAAATAGATAATATTCATCCTACACGACTACTTCCAATTCTACTGATACTCCCAACACAACACAACTACTACTACTACTACTACTACTACTATTTCTTCTACTACTTCTACTCATACTACTACTACTACTACTACTACTACTACTACTACTACTACTATTACTACTACTACTATACTCCTACTATTTCTACTATTATTGCTACTAATATTTATACTACTAATATTAGTAGTAGTAGTAGTAGTAGTAGTACTACTACTGCTACTACTACTACTACTACTACTACTACTGCTACTATAATTACTTCTACCATTACTACTACTACTACTATTACTACAACTACTACTAATACTAACTACTTCTACTACTACTACTACTACTACTACTACTACTACTACTACTACTACTACTACTACTACTACTACTACTACTTACTACTACTCTTCTTCCATTACTTCTACTACTATTACTACTACTAATATTTATATTACAATCATTACTACTACTTCTGATATTACTACTATTACTATTACTAATACTAATACTACTACTTGGAAATTTGGAAAGTATGTAGGAGAGATAATAGGAATAAAGAGAGTCATGCCACGGGGAAAAGATTGATACAGAGAGAGACAGTGAATTGAGACATGTGAATAAAAATTAGAAATCGAGATTTATATAGCGCACATATCTGCCTATAATGACATTCAAGTCCCCCAAACAAATCAAACAAATTACAAGATGATACAATAGTGAGTAAAACCCGACTTAATGACAAGAATGGTAATAAATTATTCATGCAGATCTACTAAAATCAGATACATTAATCAGATTGATACCAAAACGAGATACACTGTCACTGAGATCATTTCATAATTGATGTGATTGAAATATCACCAGGTTTTGTTCATGAGGATAGCTGTCAGGTTCTTGTGGAAGATTGAGATTAGTGCACTTGACTTGATGTATGAAGAAAGGAGGAGCGAGCGGGACGGCTGCGCAGAAAGAATTATCACCCCCACGATCTCTTTAGTCCAAACTTCTTGAAACTGGTGGACGTTCCCTGATCAACCCGGTCGTGTTCATCTTTTCGTCTCCATTACATCAGACAAGCAGCTGAGTGCCTGGTTGTTCCAGGGAAGGTATCTTGTGTCGTGGTCTAGTGAATATGGCTGCGAATCACATGGTTCGCAGTTCGAGTCCCATCGCGTCACTAATGTAATTTGGTAAGACATTACCCTTGTATAATGTTGTTGCTCCATGACCCTTTATTTGTTGGCAATAAAATATAATAGGTAAAGTTTAAAAACAGCTTTTTGAAGTGTATAACACTGCATGAAATCGCTTTTCTCCCTACCATAATATTAGTTTATTGAAATCTTCTTAAATATAGGGTTCGAACCTGTAAAACACCAAGATGTTGATGTCTTGATAAAATATTAAATTCCTCTTCTCTGGAACATTGTATACTACATGCTGTTCTGATTTCATACATTAATTTAGATTAATTCCTCAGATATTAGATCATGTTAATAAATGAAGAAGTGGTACATGAAGTTTATTTTAGTGGAATTTTTAAAACATAATTAAAAACCGAATCTTTTTTAAATAGCTACACACTGGCTTGAATTCATGGTGTATTATTTGGATGGAATTAGAACAACGTCTATCCAAAAATGTCAGGTGTAACACACTTAGATCAAAATATCGCTTTTAAGAAAGCAAAGACATAATGAAATGGAGTGTTTATATAAAACTCCTTATTTTCCCCTTGTTATTTATTTCGGTCATAATTATTTCCCTGTATCACAAAAAAATACTTTATCACTGTCTCCCTCCCCTTTTTTCTCTCTTTCTCTTTCTCTCTCTCTCTCTCTACATTTCTATATCTCCCTCTTTTCCTCGCGCAATTACCCCCTGTAAAATTATCCCAAAAGGACCACCCCCCCCCCCCCCCCGGAAATTAACCCCTAGGAAAATCGGACAATTAACCCCGTGGACAATTACCTCTCAAGGAAAAATACCCCCACCACTGATAATTACTCCCTAGGACAATTAACCCGTGGACGATTACACCTCATCCCCCCCCCCCCTTGTTCATTAAAGGGGAAGCCTAACCTGATAATAAGTTGGTTTTATTAATTCGGGGGGGGGGGTAAATGTCCAAAGGGGTAATTTTCAGGGAGGTGTCGTTGTCCGAGGAGGTAATTTTCCAAAGGGGATTTTCTGGGGTAATAATGGTCCATGGCGGCAATTGCCTACTGGTAATTGGCCGGGGGTGATTGTCCAGTGAGTAATTGTAGCTCTGGTAACTGGCCGGGCTGATTGTCCAGGGGGGTATTGTCCTATAACCGGTTTATAGGGCGAGGCTTAGCCAGTTGTAGACAAAATAAAGGCTTCTGTTTTCCGCTTTATTAAGTTTACTTCATAAACATCATGCTATTTTGTTGTACCACTTCCCCTTTCTCTGTCTCTCTCTCTCTCTCTCTCTCTCTCTCACAAACACACTTTTCCCGTAAGTTTTTATTTAGATCTCATTCAATATCAAAAGCATACTAAAAATTGTTTAAAATACAATTAGTTTTTCATCAAATTAAAAATACTTCAGTTAACTTAATACATGTAAAATTCATAAATCACGATAAAAATAAATCAATTTAATCAGTTAATATAACACAAGCACAAACACACACACACTTTCTCTCTGTAATTGTATATCTCTTTCTCTCTTGAGAGTTATTCCGCACAAGTTTCCCTTTTCTCACTGCATTTATATGTTGTATTACTCTTCTTCGTTTCATTATGATAGCTCCCTAGTTGTAAGAATATTAGTATAGACAAATTATAATAACATATAAGTATCATTCAGACGTAGTATTAAAAGTAGCAGCAGCATCATTAAGCATGGTAATTGTAATCTTGATGATAATAATAATAATAATGATAATACTAAAAATGATAAAGATTGTATTAATAATGATGATAAGGCTGAGTTCCATTTTACTTGATATTTGATATCTTTCTTTACACAGACATGTCAATGGTTCAATTGTAAAAATGATTGTTGATTCAGATTTCGTTTACAGAGACTAAATATAAGGTGGCATGCATTTTACGATTTCTGTCAACACCTTGTTTAGATATCCTTAGATTATTTAGCCTTTTTAATTTCAGAGCAAAAATGTAAAATTACACCAATACATTGACAGAGGCAGTTTAAACGAAAAAGGAAGGGACGAGAAACCATTTTTTTTCTTCATTTGGACTATTTATTGTTTATATCTAGGTACATACATGTACATATACATATACAAATATATTTATTGATTCGATTTGATTTCATTTGATTTATTTTTCCACTCAAATATCCAAGATTAAAGTAACATATAAACCATACAGTATTACAATATATAATAGAACAAATTAATTATACAAGTAACGAAAACTGATAAGAATCTACGAAACAAAATATGTTTGCAGAGTAAATTTATGTTTAAGAATAACAAAAAATATATTTATATTGCTTTATTTAACTGAGAGGGGGAAAAGGGTATCTCAGAAAAGCTAGGCTTGTATAGAGAGTTTCCCTGTATAAATTAAGTAATTGTCAGCGTGCATCAAAACTTGCGCAGGCCCACCCAGACAGACCCCAGACGCGTGGATGTACCCGTCCGCGTCGGATCACCCGGTCTTGCCCGCCGAGGCTCATTCCGCATAACATCAAACTTCCGTTGGCAGGTCGAACAAGCTCTAGGCTTGTCCGACCTAGCAACCAGCAGTATAAACTATTGTACGTATGTATTTACACATATATTGAGAAAAGAAATGAGAGAACAATGGTTGCGTAGCTTACATCAAAGTTCTTTATTGCTTTACTCCCTTTTTGGAGAAAAAAAATTAAAGGTTAAAAAAATGTATCTGCCGAGAATCGAACCCGGGTCACTGGTTTAGAACGCCTATGCTTTAACCACCAGACCACGGAGACAGGCCGGTAGCTTCGGCGACACCAGATTCAATTGACCGAGAGATTGACAAATGTTCAACCTTCATCTATTCAATGAATTCCTTTGTCGGGGGCAGGTTAGTTTTGAAAAACGGATCCAAGCGAATGCTTTGATTGAAGCTACGCAACCACTGTTCTCTCAATATATGATAGATTGAGAATTTATCTGTTTTTTGTTTTTTTTAATAATTATTGCTATTCATATTTGCTTATGTATGATTTATTGTCAACAAGTCCTTTTTAGTAATTTATGTTTGTTATGTTACCAAAAACTGGTTATACTTGTATGGAATGCAAAAGAGAATAAATCAAATCAAATCAAATCACATTTAATTCGTTTACAAAATTTTCAAATGAAAATTTACATTTGTGAAAGAAATATTTTCAAAGACCCTTTTTTCATATCATTACTTGCAAGATATGCAAATTATATTACATGCATATCCTTACGCTAAATGTCTAGTAATTATTCCGCAAACGAAACGAATCAAAATGTTGTAATGAAAACTAACACGAATATAGTATAAAGAATAATTATAAATCTATGTTGGAAAAATGACAATGACATCATTTTATTCACAGATGTCAACTACATATCTGCGGCACTCTAAATAATTTGTTTATTTCTCCACTTTCCCTTTAGCCATGTACCTTCATGTTGTTAGGTTAAAGGTGCCACCCTGGACCATGGAACATGTTATTCTACCTTTAAAAAAAATCATATTTTATCAATAAAGTCACTGAAATTATATTCAAATTTAGCAGCAAACCTTTCCTTTTAAATAATAATAGTAAAATCACTACTAAAAAAAACCTTTTGAAAAGAAAGTAGACAAAATATCACAATTTCATTCCAAAAGGAGCTAAATCCGTTCAATTCCAAAATGAGTTAAATCCATGTTTCATTCCAAAAGGAGCTAAATCCACAAAATCTAAAAAATTGATAAAAATCAGAAATAACCAGTAGATTTTTTTTTTCTTATCAAACATTATTTGTCCAGGGCGACACCTTTAACATATTTAACAACATGAAGGTACATCGCTAAAAGGAAAGTGGAGAAATAAAAAAAGGTGATTTACTCAGAAGTACCCAACGTGGATTTAGCTCCTTTTCGAATGAAACCGATTTGGATTTAGCTCCTTTTGGAATGAAACATGATATTGTACCTACATTTGTTCATACTTCCTGATGAAATGTTCAACTGTGATATAATGCATTTTGTCCCCATGTAGGAAATCATTATTTTAAGACAAAAAACTCAGTTTTGATAAAATATGGATTTAGCTCCTTTTGGAATCAAGCTCTTCAAATAAAGTATGTGATTTTTTTAAAAATTATCCAGCTGTTGGTAAATAAGTGTATGTACAGCCTAAATGTAATTATCATTAAAAGTAGTTATCTAATTTCAGTGTAACGATAAAATTATTAATTATATTGTACAGTAAACATAGTCAAAGCTCGACTATAATGGAGAATGTTAGATAAAAACACAAACTTACTTCACAGAGTGCAAAATATACTTGGCCAATAACATGACACATGGTGCTTTGCAACGGAACAAGTAAATCGCTATGGTAAAACGCATATGAGATCCTCATTTCGTTGATCATTATCTAAAACAGATTAATGTTGCCTTCTGCGTAGAAGTTTCCTGATGACTTGTGTACACTGCTGCTTGAACCGTCTGCTCATGAGAGTATAGATGAACACGTTGACGATATGGTTGATGTTACGAAGGGCATAACCAACAATCACGAGCAGATTGTTGAAGGCGCTTATTCGAAAAGCCCTGAGGGCCTGACTCGGGATATGAGTGATGATGATTCCTGGCAGCCAGGATACAAAGAAGATGATGGTGATGACGAGTAGCATGACTGTCGTCTGCCGTTCTTTGCGAGCGGCTGCCTGCATCGTCGTCTTCTTCTTCTTCTTCTTCTGTAGGCGCGTATCTTGGGGGTTTTGTCCTGGTGATCCTAGCCTTATCATCTGTGAGTGGTTAATGTCTCCCTCGTGATCATTGGGTGTTAGTAGATTCATCGTCTTTAATTGCTTTGGTTGTAGAAGCTCATCATGTTGCTGCTGTTCAATTGACGATTGGTCTTCCATAGGAGGTTGGTTGGCTGACCCTAGTCCGTTCATTTCAACTATGCAGTCTTCCCGTCGTTCATCCGGAGCCACGCGCCAGGCACCCTTAAAGAGCAACAGTGGTCGTCTTCTTGGGACCACACCTGATTGAACAACTTCCGTCATCTCCTGTGTGGAGTTTCCTCCAGATACCGTGCTAATTCCTTGGACATGGTGACTTGTGGCGCCATTGTCTGAAGACCCTTCCGCAGGGGCATTGTTCACAGTCTCAGACAGAGGAGGCGCTGCCATAGTCGCGCGGATCCGATTCTGTTTCCGTATGACCTGAAACACCTTCAGGTACAGAGCACTGGTGACTAACAACGCTATGAAGAACAGCATCGTGGTGATGATAGCGTAGATAAGATCAAAGAAAGGGAATTGATTTACGGATCGGACACATCGTACACCGGAAACAAATTGGCGCGGAACTATCACTAGAGCGAGGGGGACGCTGATGGCGATTCCCAGCATGTTGCAGAAAAGCACCAGAATAACAATATGTACTGATTTCCAGGACCAGCGCTGATCGAGCGGACGGCATACGACACGGAAACGATCAAGAGCTATTGCCGCCATGAAGAAAAGGGACGTATATCGAACATAACGAAGTGAAAATGCCTTTATCTTACAGAAGGTGTCAGTGACATGATCGGGTCCTGTTATCATGACAATGGAATAAAAGGCACATATAGAGGCGAGGAGATCGATCACGGCTTGAAAGCCGATGAGAAGATCAGTGCTGGACCTCCGAGCGTACAGGTAGGAAACCACGATGATGATGACGTTGCCCGGGATACCGAAGACGACTAGGACGATCTCCATAAACAGGCTCACACTGTTGACTAGATTCATTATGTTTATTAGTTTGCTCGGATTCCAGGTAATGGTGATATAAATATTTGAAATTACAATCAATCCTTTAATTTAAAAAAAGGTGAAGAAACATGTGAAGGAACGATTAAGCAAACGGATAATTAGTATGTATCAGGCTTCACTTTGCTACAGAATGGAGAGTGGATCTTCTCGACACAAAAATTGTATAAGGTATTCTTTTTATTTCCCCCAATTATTGACTGCACACGTTCTGTTGCGGCTAAGTAAGACAGTGATTGCGTAATCATCTAATAAAGAGAGTCTGTATAAGGAACCATTATCAAATATACTCACAAAGCTGAAGACACGAATCGCTATTGAAAATGGGAATCCAGAAGAAGTAAAGAGCATGGGATGCAATTTGAATGTTGTCGAAATAATCGAAGAGCAACTAGATATGATTATTGCTCCAAAGCAAATTCGAAGAAAGGCCAAAGACAATAATCAGATATTGTTGCGAGCAGTACAACGGCGAGAGTCGTATAGCATCACGAATCGTATAACATCGAGAATCTGATGACTTTTAACGTGTAGGCAATACTGAATGAGATGAAGTCGAAACAGAATATTAATAGGAGACATAACGAGATGGATGCTTCCTCTCACGATCCTTATATAAGGGGGTAAGCAAATGCTGGAAAGTGTGCGAAAAAGACAGTGCTCGTCTGTTATTGGATGTTTCAGAACAAAGGAAGATGATGGTGTTGATCTCGCTTCGCCTGACGTTCGTTCGCTGTTTGAGAAACGAATTATGTTTATTTGTAGATATCAAAATCTGTTTGCCTCATTCAAAATGGAAAACCGAACTCGTTTTACTCATCTAATAATCCTCCCTAATATGGGTCCTATTTATTTTGGCGTCGTAAGTAACGCGAATAATGATCTCGTAAATCGAATCGGTTTCATTGGGAGCAGCGGATAAACAGGCAGGAAAAGAGAGATGAAATAGATATACACATCTAGACACGAGGCAGCTTTGTAATTATTGTTAAATATTCTTAATTTTTCTTCTTTCTAAAGCAAGGTGAGTAATGCAGTCTGACGTTGGACAAAGTGACCACGTGATCTCAATTCACTTCTTTATTATGTTTTACCTAATGTTTTAATAGTATGGATATTTATATAGCGCTGGTATCCGCCAGGCTGTGACGCTCAAGGCGCTGTACATAATTAATACAATCTCGAACATATCACTTTTTTAACTCATAGCCTGCCATATGAGGCTGCATGCACGCTACCTATTGAGTGCCATGTGCGTGCAAGGGCGCTTTCGTTATAGCAGTTATTGTTCATGCTCATTGGGCTGTGCTGTGTGTTTTGCACTCGCCATTCATAGAACCATCGCGTTAATCAGATTATCTCCAAAACAACCTGGCACAACGGGGATTAGCCCTGTGGCACGATAAGAGTTACCTAAAATACAGGGTAAACTAAAACAACACAAATTATATAAATTCAAATTGGGAATGCAAAATGGTTCCCCGTGACTATATAGATATCATCAGTGACGGTTGCAGGAGTATCTGGTGAGCAGGTTTGTCATGAGGTACTGACTAGCAAGTACTATAAGCATTTTTCACAAGCATACAATTTATTTCTCAAAATGCCTGACAATGAGCTGCACGAAAAAACGATCCTCACATACTTCAGGTTAATCACGTTTCCAAAATCAAGAATGCGCCCTATACTGTGTTTAAAGGATGGGTGGAGTGTAAAGGGGGGGGGGGCTCATTTCCATTATGCAAGCTTTAATCCACCTCTGATACTTCGATTGTTGCTGTTTTTGTTCTTATAATGACATGGGTATTATTTACAAGTATGAGCATTGCATAACTTTAAATTCGTGCTTCATCTCTTCAACACGTTCAGGCGATTTGGCGGAGCACTTGATAATAATCTCTTAATCATTTTTATAGCTTTAACCTTAAGCGAAAGACAACGGGGCGAGGGGAAATGGCGATAATGACATTTGTTTCTTAAATCATGTATGATGGTAGGTATATGTAATGACATTACGCAAAAGATCTTAGATGAGAGGAGTAATATTTATCGAATCATCTGCATAGGCACGGAATATTTTTTTACCATTCAATTCCCTTATTCCGCATCTTCTACAAAGCGGAAAAACGTGATAGAAATTTAAATCAAATAAAAAAGTACAGAGAATGTGAAGCTACCAAAAAGATTATAACTTGATAAAATAAAACGGGAAATTGCGTAAGGAGATCGAAGCTCGTCTTTTAATTTCTTGTCAAGTCTCTCTTTGGGGTCATTGTGATGATGATGATTAAATTTGCTGAGGTTGTTTATGTCTTTTGATAACAACTTCTTAATACTCTTTGTCACCATTTTCTGGCAGTCACCAGTTGGTAAGCATGCATCATATCGCTTTAGTTTGATTATATTTGTAACCTAGAAAGAGATAAGGTTTGGCCCTAAATGATATTTGAAAATTTATAATATGTATATTCTTGTCTACAAAATAATGTAAAAATATGCAATTACAAGCAATACGGGAAATCAAGACAGCAAAACAATAGTAGAATAGAAACATTTATATATATATATATATATATCACGTACACATCAATCATTATAATCTGTTCACATAACAAAAAAGGTAACTCTACTCATAATTATTATTGATCTTCTCAAACTTCTTTCCTCATTAAAATATTATTTATTTACTACTTTATCTGTTCTTACTTCATCATGTTCATTTTCTTGTTTCATAAATTATTATTATTTTGTGTACTTATATTTTTGTCCACATTTTGTTGTCCGGACTCAATAAATCTTATATACGAGATGCATGAGCTAGCATTTATGCACACACGGTGCCTAATTTTGTGGCATTGCCATATTGCATCTGATTGTAGAAAATTGTAATAAAAAGAAAAATTAAGCTTTGAAATCCTTAAATTTAAAGTATGTTGAGACTTCAGAGGTTCAAGACTACATTTTTGTTTTTACAAATCAGCATAGTAATAATATAGTCTACATATTATTTTCAGATACAAGACTTTTTAATAGAACAGTAATAAAAGAAATGTTAAGAAGGAGATATGATCAATGTCAGACTCAAATAGTTCCTGCCCTATAAGACTGAAAATGAAATAAAAACTCATTTCATACACCCAATGCGACTATAAGTACAGATCAACCCCTAAGCATGCTAGTAAAGCACAGTCGACATCAAAAAGAGGTTTTGTTAGTTGTATGCCATCATTTACGATGTTTCACGACTTCAAATATTTATTGTCCTATAAGACTAAGAATGCAATAAAAACTCAGTTTATACACCCGTCTATATGATACCAATGCGAATATAAACTCAGATCACCGCCTAAGCATGCTAGCAAAGGACCGTCGACGTAAAAAAAAAAAAAAAAAAAAAAAAAAAAAAAAAAAAAAAAAAAAAAAAAAAGAGGTTTTGTTCGTCATTAACATTATTGATTTCCTTCAGACATTAAAGATGTTTCACCCCTGTAATTTTGTTTACATCCTCTCATTCATTATATAAGTGGGACAATAATGACCGTCAGTCTTCCCATTAAGTTAAATGTTCACTAAACGGTTGTTTTATCTCCGTAATTTTGCCATTATATTCTCACCGTACTGAAATCAGGGAGATTGGGAAACACTATTCCTTTAATAACATCATACTCCTTTCAATCTAATTCTCTATCCGTCTATCTTCTCTCTAGCTAGCTCTCTCTCTCTCTCTCTTCTCTCTTCTTTCCCTCTGTCTTTTCTCTCTCTCTCTCTCTCCCTCTCTCTCTCACTCTCTAACCTCTAATTTGGTTGACATGGTTAACTTTATATCATGTATAAATACATGTAATGTATCCATTTTACAGCTATCTTGTAAACAAGTTTGAGTTTGATTTTGTGTTTTGAAGTTTTATTATCCGAACAAAAAGTACATCAATATTACAATAAAATGTGAATGTTTAACATTGAAAGGATAAATGGGACAAGAAAATAGCATTAAATGCTAATCGAGTCTGGTACCACTTCCACACAAAAGTATCACAACAATGAATGAGAATGTAAGGAATAAATATGAATAACTATTGAATACATACTTAACCCTGATCAACCATTATGCCCCCATCCCCCCCCCCCCCTCCACGATTTTTCTGATATTTTCGAGAACGCATATGGATGGCGCCCCGCCGCTCGCTGACTTTTTTCTTTCGAGTCTTACGCATCTTTTTTTAATATTTTTTATTGAAAATCGGACCTACTGTTACAAGGTCACTTGACTTTTTGTCTTCGCATGTCAGCCCGAAAATCGCTCATTTTTGTGATTTGTGTACAAAACATATGGAAATGTCATTTTTCCTAAAAATAGATCAAACATTGGTTATTGGGTCTTGTTTAAAGTTTAGGTGGTTGTTTTGGGAGTAAAAAATAGTTGAATTGTAGTAAGAAATGAAATCAAACAACAAATACAATAAAATACAAAATGTTTTTTTTTTTTTTAAACAATGAAATACATAAGAAATCATCAAAACAAGAGATAACATAAGGAATAAGCTGGCTCTTCCAAAAAAAAAATTGTCGTATTATTATTCCAAATGGTTTTATGAATATATGAAGAGCTTGATTCCACATTTTATAAAAATTGAGTTTTTTGTCTTAATATAATGATTTCCTACATGGGGACAAAATGCCCTATATCACATTCTAAAATTTCCCCAGGAAGTATGAAAACTTTTAGGTACAATTTCATGTTTCATTTCAAAAGGAGCTAAATCCAAATCGGTTTCATTCCAAAAGGAGCTAAATCCACTTTGGGTACTTCTGAGAAAATCACCTTTTTTGTTTCTCCACTTTCCCTTCAGCCATGTACCTTCATGTTGTTTTTTATGTTAAAGGTGTCGCCCTGGACCAATAATATATGATAAGAAGAAAAGGTTATTTCTGATTTTTACTAGGTTTAGATTTTGTGGATTGAGCTCATTTTGGAATGA